ATAATAGAAGATATCGAGTTCTAGAGCTGATTAACTTTTGGGCGGCCATCTTATTTACAAGCGGCCATTATGAAGGGTTTTCGATTAATCTTGTCATCGCAATTTCAGAAAAACGGTCATCGGATTTGCTCCAAATTCGCACACATGATAGAGGATGCACCATAGAGGATATCAAGTTCTAGAGCTGATCATTTTTGGGCAGTCATCATGTTTTCTGGTAGCTATTTTGAAGGTTTTTCGATAAATCTTGTCATCGCCATTTTAGGATTACCACTTATCGGATATTTTCAAAACTCGCACACATGATAGAGGATATCAAGTCCCAGAGCTGATTAACTTTTGTACGGCCATCTTGTATTCCGGCGGCCATTTTGAAGGTTTTTCGATGGTGTGATCTCGTTCACGTCATGTGGCTTTTTCAACTAGAATGTCTAGAAAGGAACTAAAAGGTCACGATGAATAAACATGGCAATGTGTGGAATTGATCTCTTGATAATCATACATCAACGCGAGATGTTTTATTTGGCATAAATATATCTCTGGTATGTTTCTTTATCTTGGTGTAAGAGTCATAAATTGCGTTACTTATCGAGGGTAATTTTACTTATGGATTTGTATGACTCCCCCGGAAGAAAGTTTTCACTAAAAATTGCATTAGATTTGCCAATAATAAGGGTGAAATTGTCAATTAATTTATTTATGAATACGCATAAAAGTCTAAGATTAAAGGCCAGAAAGCAATTTTTATTATTCAAAGTAGTGGAGATGCAGTTAGATGTTCAATTACACATTATAAAAATATAATGATATACATAAAGCATCATTTTGTGTCATTAATGCATTTGTTTTTGATATCTACCGAAGTGATGTTAAAAAGTGATCCAAGTGAATAATAATATTTGTTTTCTCGCAAGGCAATGTCAATCAATTTACTTATGATTACACTGTGAATAAGCGTAAAAGTCAAGATCGAAGGCCAGAAACCAATTTCTTTTATTATTTACCTTGGATCGTGGATTCGAATAAATAGATTGACTTAGGCAACAGTTTTCATACAATACAATTCTTGAGATAAATGTTGTGCCAAATCCAACTGCAATATAAAGCGCGGTCTAACAGTGACTGTGTTTTAGAGACTTACACTGCATGACTCAGCCTTACGAGCATTTTGCTCATTGGATAGTTTTTTATATGTCTAACATGTATCTAATTTTGTCATAATTTTATATTTTATTTTACATTACTGTATATATAAATTGTATCTCCATTTTATTATGGGCAATAAAGATATACAATACAATACAACAGTCTGAATTCTGAACTCTGCATTTTAAATTATATTTTCGGACCAACAGGATCCGGACAAGCGAGATTCGGACCAATGTGATTCGGATGATTGGGTTACAGGCAAGTGGGTAATTGGGAGATCCCCTTCTAGTAAGGTGTACAGTCATGTATAACGTTTTACATCTCAAATACTGTCTCAATAATAACAGCTTGCACCGAGGTCTAGCCTCACTTATTTTGCCGATTAGATAGTTCTTTCCTCCGAGTCCACCTAATGTCATAGTGATCGTGGTATAAAATTTATTATCTCATCGGTGAATAACATCCCCTCACCGGATAGCCTGACAACGGTAAAGTCAGATATCGTTGTCATTGTATGTAGTTAATGATGTTCTACCATCGAAATAAAGTCTTTAATTTAACCGATCAAAATGAGATACAGGACAACGGACACTGTATAACCATATACCGTTGTCTTTGTAAATTATTTCAAATTGAGATTCCGATGTCACTAACGATATCGAAGACGCTATATTGTTGCGATTCCCGACCAAATGTGATCGAAATTGGGATTTCATATGATACATCATCACAAGAGCTTAATACATGGACAGAATTAGCGACGATAAAATCCCATGAAATGATGACCAAATGATTAAAGAGTTGAAGCGACGGTTATGTCCGCCATTTGTGACAACGGTATCTGACTTTACCGTTGTCAGGCTATTCCGATGTGATCCGGGGATATTTTTGTTTTGATATTGGTAAAATAGTATGTATAATTAGAACCATATTGAATCACTTCCAGTTAATAATGACAGTGAGGATAAATATCGAATATCACATGGGGACATATTGAATATGGGAATCAAAATAGTGTAGCCTATTTTAAACAATAAGAGTTTTCTAAAAGTGAATATTTTTCCAAAAATCTAATTTCCATTGATAGAGAAAATTTTGTTTTGAATCATTTCAAAGGAGGGCTATTTTAAGCTTCACCTAATTTTCAATTTATTCTCTGTATTTTATTGATCTACAGGGTGTTTCATAATGGCCGTTCCCCGCAAATCAGCAATCCTAGATTGCACTGTACCTCCATGTGTTATACATTACATGTTGCTTGTATTACATGAAAGCTCGTCGAATTCTTGGCTTATTGAAACAACTTTGATTCAGCAGCTTCAATAGCTTGCTACATTTTATTACAAAATTATTCGGACAGTCACATTTTCTTCAAAAAATTAGCCGTGTAACCTTTTAACCGAAGTGATAACCAAGGTTCAGAACAGTATTGTCTCTAGCAATCCATTTGTAACATTTGATGGATGCCGAGGACATATCCTAATTGTAGTTGAAAGTAAAAATAGTAACTGTTTTAAAGAACTGGTCCATGTGGAATTGGAAGTGTTCTTCCATATTTATTCGTGTAGAATCCTTGCGAAATATCCACATTAAAATGTGTGACAATAATGGGGGTCCATGTGGATAAAATTCACGTGGAGATAGTGTAGGATGCCATGATTCCTGCAAGACTTAAGACTTAGTGATCTTTATCCATAAAAACCTTTCTCTAAAACATGTGATAATATCAGCCCATTAATGCAAGTAATAAATGAGATATAGCTTGTTGAAGGGTTCACTTATTTTTGGACCACCCTGTACATGTTTTTCCAAAGTATTATGCTTTTTGCACTTTGGGCACTCTGTCGCTTGTTTACCAACATTCAAACCGCCAATGTTCAATGATATGCTTGCTCAGGATGTAAACGCGGTATATAAAAGGATGGAAGGAAGCTCCCCCAAGATGTTACCGTAACTCGATAGGGAGCAGTGATCCCTTTTTTAATTAGCAACCAATTCACCTTCACGTGACTTGCATCCACTGAGCTCATGTATAAAAGAAAAAACTACATTCTTAAAAGTACACACTGTTTATGTATCTTTATTGCCTCCTAATATTGGAGAGTACATACTTTTAATATATTACAATGATAATAAATAACAAAAATAAAACATATTATACACTATATACAAAGGTGTTTGAATATAATAGTGCGATCAGATCATATCAGTCAGCTTATTGGGGTGCTACCGCTGCCCCAACATTACGCCTGATCTAGTTCTAATAGGGCCATATGACAAAAGTTATGTTCATTCTACCAGTATTTACAATCATTGGGTTTATTTTCAAAGTATCATCCTATCGTTACTAGTGTACATTGCATAAATCGTCTTTGATATCGTTACATAGCTACCTATCTTTAATAGTTTATCTTTCCCAAAAATGATTGCTAATTTGATCTCATTTGAGCAGTTTTCGGGGATACTATTTGCGTTTAGCTCTCTTTGGATAATATCTCTCATTTGTGAATGTGCGTCACAATTAAGAATTATATGTTACTTTGATCTAAGGATTCTATCTCTATCGATTATTAATGTATCATGTCATGAATGTACATGTATGTCATGTCATGAATGTATGTCATGTCATGGATGTATGTCATGTCATGTCATATCAGCCGTTTCTTTTAATATGACCCCGCACTCGTCAATAGAAAAATTGTGTTTTGGTGGTCACTCATGCACAGGTTAACTGCACAGGTTTTCGTGTATTTCAAAGTGAGATTGTCAGAGTGTATTATATTTTGTTTACTACCGATGACAGGCCTCATAGACTTCCACCAACGCGAACATCAGTTCTGACTTCGCGAACTACGTTCCTTGCACTCGAACCACGATTCTCACATCGCGAATTTCACACCGGAATAGCCTGACAACGGTAAAGTCAGATACCATTGTCACAAATGGCGGACATAACCGTCGTTTCAATTGGATTTTCATGAACTGTATGTTTAATAGAACATCTAGATTAAATTCCTTTGGAACAACAATCAATCAAAGTGTATTAATACCCATTGTACAATTAATAATGTTCTACCATCGAGATAAAGTCTTTAATTTTACCGATCAAAATGAGATACGGGACAACGGACACTGTATTACCTTATGCCGTTGTCTTTGTAAATTATTTCAAATTCAGATTCCGTTGTCATTGACGAAATTGGGATTTCATATGATACATCATCTTAAGAGCTTAATACATGCACAGAATTAGCGACGATAAAGTCTAATGAAATGAGGACCAAGTGATTGAACAGTTGAAGCGACGGTTATGTCCGCCATTTGTGACAACGGTATCTGGCTTTACCGTTGTCAGGCTATTCCGGTATGAACGTGAAATCTTAAGTCGTTCACCACCATTTCCTCGCTCCCGAACACGGACTTTTTTCGTTCAGATATGTGGTTTGCGAGTACGGATCTCTGTGTGCGAGTGGATGTGCTCGGTAGCGAGGAAATTGCGGTGCGCGACTAAAGATTTCACGTTAGCGATGCGAGAATCGTGGTTCGAGTGCAAGGAAGTATTTCGCGAGGTCAGAAGTCAAAATTGATGTTCGCGTTGGTGTAAGTCTAGGAGGCTTGAATGAAGGTGAACAATACATCTTTCCGTACAAAATATTCTCTAAAAATGTGTGTTCATCTTCCACTACCGGGTTTTTGCATTGAGCCCATTGATTATATATTATGTTACCATGGACTGGGGCAGTCTTTTTTGTTGGATCAACCAAGGATGCAGTAATATTGGAGCCTGTACATACTAGTTACAATTGGGTTCACAATAACTCAGGAAAGCAGGAAAGAACATTCAGATTGCAAATACCACGTGATTTTTCTACTTAAAGTTACAAGTATAGAATATTGACTACAGTGCTTCAAAGAGATTCTATTGAACACGATCTGCAGTAACAAAAGTCGAATGGAGTTAGGAAGTCTGGCGATCGGATTTTTACGGGTACATTTTTGTATTCAATGTGCTCTTCATAATGTAGGTAAGCAAAATAAAAATAACATTGTAATGATAACCATTGGATGCAATGGAATTTTAATCTGGATTTAAGATTGTAATGCAATTGACTTTGAAAATATTTGTGAAAAATTTAAAGAAAAATAATATTATAATAATTCCAATTGGATGTGATGAAATTTTAAAATGCATCATAATAAGATTGTAATTAGTAGTATGACGTTGCAATGAAACTCATCGTGACATCTAAAACATTGCACTGTTTTGGATGTCAATATTTTCTAAAAATGCTAAAAAATATAAACCAATGTTGATTGTCTAACCAGGTCGAAAGAAAAAATATATTAGCCTAGGTTTTATTATTGTACCATTGGTTTCAATGAGAACTAAGCTTTTGAAATGCATTTTTCTCTGAATCATTTACATGTATGGATGTCATCATTTCTCGCTTATTTATGAATACATTTTCTTATTTTTTCGGCGAAATACACATGAGGATAAATGCTTTTGCATTTGTGTGAATTATCGGTCATTAAAAAATACATGTGACCTCTGAAAGTTTGTTTTAAATAAATTCACCATTCACCATCACATTAAGTTCTACAAGTATAAGAATAGCACGACGGCTTGAAATAATATTCGAAATATACCTTGAAATATCAAGACCTCATGCTATTTTTATACTTGTAGAACTTAATGTGACTGTCATTCACCATTTATTAAGCAGTAAAAATAATTTGCCGCATGTGTGACAAAATGTTTCTAGTTTCCTGGTGAATGTCTAGTCTTCCATCATACGAATGTAAAAGGCGATCTGTCTGCATGGGGTGTAATCTACTAATCACGTATTCTGTCTAAGTTTATTCATGCCGAATCACCCAAACCCCAAGTTGACTCTTTCGACTAGATTTTACACGTGACTGAAAACGTATTTAAATCGCAGTCTGATGCTATGGAAGTACACCACATTTGACACTCTGTAACCCAAAAAATTAACAAAGATTCCTTCATAAATGAGAAAGCTATTCATTTTAAAACTATAGATTTTCATATTTTTAATGTCACCTTTTCTAAAATTAATATGACCTAAACTTTTAACCGAAAAATGCCTACATTTTTATCGAATTTACTAAACAGTGAGCGGTTTCGCTATACGCATGTTTCACTTACGAACTGTTGTATTTTTAAGATGGTCTTGGGTATACTTACCAATACGATGCCCAAATTGAGTCAACCGTAAAGGCAGAGGATGTCGATGGGTACCCAGACTCTACATGGGACCAAAATAACCCTATGAAACATAGAGATCTATGCCGTCATTGGTGCAACTGCAACAGAGACTGTACCAGTGTGGACTTTAATGATGGAAATGGTGAATGCAAGTATGTCTTTTGAAATGTCTCTGAGACTAAAATCTTAAGAGTTATTGCTATTAATAATTTTAGCCTATTACATGTATACACGTTACTTGTCATACAGTAAAAGGACATAGTTATGTCAGCATGGCGAATCCTGAATTATGATATCGTGATTAAATATGTTACAATGGCATCTATAATGAAGTATTTCCAACAAGTTGCACATTGTTGGAAAATATACCATATTTGGAGAGATAAAGAAGCTCAAACATTTTGTAGGGCTATGTTTTGTTGTTTTCGTTATATTGTTGTTAAATGGCAATTCCAAGTTATTAAAACATGTTCAAGTCATTATTAACCCTAATGTTTCCAACCTTTTTTAAAACACTGAGTCGCAAGGCGGGGGGAGGGGGGGTCATTTGGATTGGGATTAACCCCCTCCCCTCTACAGGCATTAGGGTTGAATACCAAATGATGTAAAATAGGGACGGGTACCATACATTTTGCCAATATAAATAAGAATAATGTTTGAAATATTTTTAGGTATCATCTTGGTAGTATAGACTGGGACGGATCAAACGGTGGAGATAAGTGGAAGACTGGAGGAGGAAATTATCATATGAGGAAAATGAAAAATTGCGGTGAGTTAAGTATATCAACCTGTATAACTACATACTACAAGAATATAAACAAAGTTGGCGGGTAACTTCATCTTCGCACGCTCGGTCTTCACTGCGTTCATCGACCGACGGGAGCCGAGTGAACGAAGATGGGGTAACTTGCTCCTACAAGTATTCAAGTAGTTGTCATCTTATCTAGGAAGTGGATTTCTTCTGACGACGCAGCAAACGTCAATATATTTTGGAAGTATTCATACTGTTTACAGAGTGAAGATTTGATGTTTCATATGTATCATTTATTAGTGAAACTTACAGATAGCTTCAGTTTTGTTTTTGGGAGACTGAGAGGGTAAGTGACGTTTACATGTGTTTGGCATTTGATTGCAAGTGCCATATTTTTTAATCATATTTTATGCGCATGGTTTAGTCACGTTTGTATTTGGATAGTTTGGTGAGGCCATGGGACGTCACAGTTAAGTAACCATGACAACCACGTTCCATTGTCTCCCGAAGGAGAAGTTTGCAATTGTCAAATATAAAACAATTCTCTTCTGCAGTTGACAACACCGATTTAACATTCGATAGCCTACCAGACAGTGCTTTTGAAGCAAGTTCTGTCTATACGGGGGACACAATACAAGGACCTTACTATGCTTACAAGAGCAGACTCTCGAATCCCCAAGGCTGGTATGCGGACGTAACTCAAACTGGAGATGTATGGATTCAAGTCACATTTAACGAAATAAGGTACCTTGTTGGTTATTAAGAGGTTTTCACCATTACGTATTGGATTTATTGAATATTACTACTAAATAGCAATAATTGTCACATTCCAGTATGTCACAATATTATATTTGAATACATTATTGCTTGTTGTTTATTGAATATGATCACCTTAGTTTTGTGAATATTAACATTGAACTTCCATATACTACAATATTTTCCAGACTTGTTTTGCATTTGTAATTTATTGAAATCATTCATTGATTTGTTGTTGTCTTATTGTTTATTGGTTCTGTGATGTTTGACTTATTCATTGCTGAAGTGCTATGGCTTTTTGTGGAATTGTCATTAGCTTCAGCTGTTGATGTTTAGTATTCATATGTTTCAATGTCTATCAGACCAAACTCCCTACTATTAAGTTCACATAACAAGTCAGTTTTTGCTGTTCAATCCAAGTATATTGTATAAGAAATATTTTCTCTTTATTTATGAAAGATCATATATTCAAATATTGATTTTTTCTATTTTATTTTTACTTAATGTTGCTTTGCATTTTTTACAAATGTGGCCTCTAATCAAGTGTTAACTTTTCGTCTGTAACAGTTACTTAGCCCTTTGGCCCCGAAGGGCTCTGGAAGCTCTCACCACCACCAGCCCCTCAAACAGACTCAAACTCTCAGATTCGGAGCTCGGATTTTATATCATACTCTATGCTGTGTTAAATATAGCCCCAGCCTAAGTTTAGCCAATGAATGCATCAGGGTTTGGAGCCAAGTTAAAGATGCAGACTTACATCAAAGTTACATATAAGATTATATAGCATACTACCTACAATCATGCAATTAACATAGGTGATCCAGTACCCTCAAAGGATAACATTTATCACCTGTCTTATTTAACAATTCAATATCATCGGCATACATCAGTGTATTGGCTCCATCTTGTATGTATACGGGTCAAATTTTACATCATCAAATTATGTCGGAACGTCATTGAGATATTATATATATTGATATTATATTATATTGAATAGCATTGGGCTTGAATTACAAGCTTGTCTTGTTCCTACAACACTTGGGAAATGATCTAAATAACCACATTTTAGTTTGACCCTACCACGTTCTTGTACATATGGATGAACACTGATATTAATATGTATGTGAGTGCTTATGCCTTAATGCCTATCTAGTTTGTAGAATCTTCTTTTGACAACATGTACGTGCCTTTATTAGACTCATTACAATTCGATGAAAGGTTGCCCGATGAGGTTCCGCACGTCGAGTCACATGGGACTACGTGTGTCTCCACTTTGCAAAGGCCCATCGAGACTCATTGCGTCCATGTGGAAAGAATGAACATGCTATAATGTACTGCAGTTATATGAAATAGTGTGTCCGGGTTGGCTAGAATCGGACACGCCTTGCCTAGCTATGTGTGAATATAAAGCGCACCGTGTTGTAATTGAGTTCATATTTGTAGGTTAGTATCTGCCATAGAAACCCTTGCATCTGCCCAGAACTGCTCGACGTGTATAGGTGAAGGATGGAGTAAGAAAGTGAATATATATTATAGAACATCTTTACAACACAAATGGAAGTCTTATATGATGTATGGAGTATCGATTGTAGAGGTACATCTTTTTGTTTGAATTTTTCCATATTTTGAATTTTTTCATATACTGATTATGAAATATTTTACCATTTTATAATTCTGAATGATTCGCAAATACAAATTCCATATTTATTAAGAAACGTGTCAATTTATAATCTTGAAGCGTTCGGTTGAAAATTCCGTATTCACATAAAATAAAGAAACGTGTCAAAATCTGAACCATATTGAAACTACGTAATGCGCTTTTAATTAAAATAATAATATTTAAAATAATATATATAATATGAATTCAGAGCATTGACACACAGCTTTATATACAAGCACAAGACACAAGGTCAAGTTATTGAAAATAATGCTTCTAATATTTTACACTCTGTATTGGTCATCTTTAAAGTACAAAATAGGCATGGGATGCACAAGTGTATAATTAGATACAAGATACTGTTCATGTACCATTTGATTGTATTGGTTTAAGACATAGCATTGTTGGATTTTCAGGAGCTGGATACTAACGGTGACGATCATAAAATTGTGACCAATAATATTCAGATACCATTTGAAGCTCTGCAAGTCAAAATGGTCATCATCGATCATCAGGACTTCTACGGAACAAGATGGGACATGCGGACTTGTCAGTTTAAGCCTGGTACGTCTCTTCACTCTCTAAGACATTATCGAGCCTTAGGCAATTGTTGCAAACATACTGTAACGACCTACCTTGGTAGCAAGTTGCTACTACGGCCAGACTGTAATGACTTAAGCCTTTATCACTGGGGAGTATCGTGATGCAACAACACCGTGTTGTTGCATCAAGATGGCCAGACTTCCGGTGATAGATTTTCGTACGATATTTTGTTTCCCCAATTAAACCCATTTCTAGGACGAGTTGCTCAATAACCATACCCGTACAGTTAGCGCACGATCTATATTTAAAGAAACTGTCATTAGTATACATATACCATCACCAAGAAGCAATAAGTTCACGGTTTTAGTTCCTCACTATTGATGCAACAACACCAAACCGAAGATGCAACAACACTCCTCTAGATTTGAGCAATGATGCAGCAACACCAATTAACAGTATAATTTCAGAAGACCATCTCGAGAGGAACAGATTTTTAAATGCTACTATTGCAATACCGTTACCAATTAGCCTACCCATATTTGCGTTCTTCTCAAGGCATTCAAAATACACGTCCTGCGGGCGAAGATCTTTATATGTATTTTCAAAAATTTATACTTTTACATATTATAATGTACTGGACGTTATTCTATAACATAGTTCAATCGCCTTTAACATGGCGAGCTTTAGTAACCCAATCTATTTTCATAAACCACTGTTCCATAGCTTGATGACCCTGACTCCAGTTAGTATAATTCAAAATGGTGGACAAATATCTTTCGTTCTCGGTAAACATGATGAGCTATTGGATATTATCATGATATTATCTGTCATCCTTCTGTGGAACAGTGATAAACTAGTAGATGTACGTTACCACTGTTTATCAAATTATAACTAAAACAGTTTAACTGTGACATTCGTGAGCTTATGTTGATGGGATGATTGCTTCATCTATTATATAATATGACATGATTCTTTATTTCCTACAATTTGGAGAGCCAACGTGTAAAAACGTCTAATTGACTTTATTAGAGAGGCCGTTTAGTTACACGTTTAATGGAAATCTTGCACGACGCACATGTAGAATTATTGCTCTCTTTGGATTCCTTCTCTCCGACTGAGTAAAAAGGTAAACAAAAGTGATAAGATTTGGGGCCCAAAAGGTAAATTGATAGGGGTACAGTTATCCCAGATATCCCGGGCCCTCGGGAAATATCATATTGTCTCTCGAAATAAAACCAATATTGAATCCCTCTCAGTAAATAACTTTTATATAATAGCATTGTATAACTGCAATATCATCCAACCAACACTCATCCTATACAACTCTTGAGAACGATGTACAACTCCTGGATAGCGTAAACTCCTGAGCAGCGTATACAACTCTTCAACTTGATATATGACATCATACTTTGGGTGGGATAACAAAGGATATACAATATACAATTGTAGACCCCTCTTAAGGTCAACTGGCAAAATTGTATACCGGTACTGTAAACCTTGAAAGTACTGTTGATCAAGACCAGAGGTCGAGGACACTTTTGCCAGTTGACCGAAAAGAGAGGTTAACAATTGTTCTGTTAGTCCAAATAATATAATAATTGGACGAATATATAATCGAATATCACGTGAACATATTTGATAAGTAAAGGTATCATATTTTAGCAAAAAATCCCCAAACCGTCGAATACTTGTAATTTTTTGTACAACTTATTTTTTCAAAATTAAAAAAATTTCAACATTAAAAAAAAAAAAAATTTCAAAAATAGAGGTCAACAGTACCTAGTAGTGGTCAACAGTTTACAATTGTTGACCTCCCCAGAGGCCAACCAGCAAAATTGTATACCGAGACTGTAAACCGAAAAAATACTGTTGACAGAGACCGAAGGTCGAGGTCAACAGTAGTTTCAAGGTTTACAGTCGAGGTATATGATTTTGACGGTTGATCGAATGGAGAGGTCTACAATTGTTTTGTTAGTCCGAGTAAACTAATAATACACATATAGACGACGATCATCAATCGGCATGGCTTCATTTCACAACCTTTTCTCCGAACCACGTTAGCAATATTTTTTTTAGAAAATATGGAGACAGTGCAAGAAGCTTAACTCTGTATTTGGCACATCACGGCGTACTCGTTAGTGAGTTAATGTTAATTTTAAGTTTCTATTTGTATTTTTGCTATACTTGTCGCCTAGTAAAGTCATTTTCCTCCACATTTACAAAATGTCCGTCTTCCATGTTTTTTTGTGACGTCATGAAACTTTTTTTCAGAAGTAGCGGTCAACAGTACCTAGTAGCGGTCAACAGTACATAATTTTGACCGCTAATCACCCAATCAGAATCGAGTATTTCAGTTGAGGTACTAACAATACATTTTATTGCCCGCTCATCAACCAATCAGAATTGAGTATTTCAATTGAGGTACTAACAACACAAAATGACTGATATCTGTTGTCTTTCCAAAATTATATTAGTTATTTGTAAGCAATTTCCATACAGTAAATCAAGGGCATTTAATTTAGAAAATGTATAATCTTTATTTTTCAGATACAATATCAATGAGATTGCCTCCCGGGGATTCTGTACTTTATTTAGTTTGCCTTGTATATCCTTTTAACTTTGATATAGACAAAGAAACCAAACAAAATACGTTTCGTTCATGGACCAACGACTCACGCGTTTTATTCATGTCCCGACCTACACCTGTAAACAGAACATAAATAGAGATTATCCTATATGAGGTTCAGGATATTGGGATTATCCCGAGGCCAATATAATATATCTGCCCGAGGGCCGTAGGTCCCGAGGGTAGATATATTATATTGGCCAAGGGATAATCTAAATATCCTGAACCGACTATAGGATGATCTGTTTATCCCATACCAATCACATTGTTCAATTTGCCAAAGTTCAGAAACTTTGCAACCAACCGTGGAATATTCTTAAAATATTCATGTCCAGTTTTGTATTCCTGTTTCTTTCCTATTCAAATCTTTGATTATTAACGCCGGTACACTGCTCCTTCCCTTCTTTAAAGCATCAAACAGGTCGAGATTGTCTGCGTTTTTCTCCATTGTCATTTACAGTATGCGAACGTTACAAAAAAGAACCAATACGGTAACAGCGATTATGACGTAGCGGGCAGATATAGTTTATCTGCCCGCTCGGAGCGGGACGTAAAGCTATATCTGCCCGCTGATGAAAATATAAGTTTTTACAAACCGGCTTTATGTACCCGTAACACGTCCAAGTATGGGATAAAACAGTTTCTCTTGTTGTTCAATGATACATTATATTGGCGTTTTTGCATCAGCACATTGGTGTTGTTGCATCATCGATAAGAAACAGAGTGGTGTTGTTGCATCAATAGTGAGGAATTAAAACCACGAATTTATCGCTTCTTGATGATGCTACGTGTATACCAATGATAGTTTTTTAAAATATAGATCATGTGCTAACTGCATGTGTATGATTATTGAGCAACTCGTCCTAGAAATGGGTGTAAATTGGGAAAACAAAACATCGTACGAAAATCTATCACCGGAAGTCTGGCCATCTTGATGCAACAACACGGTGTTGTTGCATCACGATACCCCCCAGTGTTTATAGGGTCCTAGGTTTGATTCCCGCAGGGGACAGTGCATTTAGCACACTTTCTTTCAATTTCTTTATCTGGCTTGTTACACTATACTCATTAGTTGGTCATTCCCCTGTGGCGCCCTCGGGTCATAACAATACTTTGCCGGTCTCCGCCATTTATTCGTTCAACTTTTAAAACTTTGATTGATTATAGCTAACGTAAATGCGTATTTCCAGATCCAAAAGTGGGCTCGCAACAATCATCTTTAAGGCTAGGTATGGATCAAGCAGGGAACGTTTCACCGTCAGAGACTTTGTATGTCCGTTCGCGTATTCAGTGTAACAGCGAGTGCTCGAGAAGAGGACACCACGCCTTTAACTACCAGTACAACGTAGCAAATGGGCAAAAACACCTTTGTGAATGCATTTACAACAAATGTGCTCCCTTGGTAACAAGACATGGATTTCAATATTTTGAAAAGAATGACTGAGAGATATGATTTTAATCAAGAAATATCTAACATTGTCTAAGGCTTCTGTCTTCTGGCCATTGTGACCCCTCCCTTACGCCTCACCTTTATATGTATAAATTGTTTGTATTATATATTTCGAAGTAAAGTACGGGGGGGGGGTTGACGCTTGATTTTCCCGGAGAGGATGACTAACTATTAATTAGGAAACAGGAAAAGAATTTATATTTTCTGAGGACTGTGCTGATGTTGAGAGTACAGCAGATACTGTACATCAGCATCTTGATCAAGAAAGTTTCAGTTTCTCCTACTTGTTATGACACCTTGGAAGTGCAAGATGGTGCATCAGGGCATGCCATTTATTCCATTAAAACACCTTTTCATGTAATAAATGCAAATACCCAAAAGGCAATCGTGAACAAACTATATTTATTAACATTAACATAAAGACATTAACATATCTTTCTTTTTGGAAAACCGAATACGAACACTCAATGAATACCAAATCAATGAGACTTATTAATAGTTTTAGAAAATTCTATTGAAAAATCTACTTATAATTTATAATATAAAATTACGTTCGTGATTACACATTTTAATAGTTTCTAGTTTCTATTCTATGTTCGCATAAAAATGAGGAAATGAGATTGTTGAAATAATATGAGTTTTACTTGATCATTCCAAGGGCGTGAACATTAGAATGGTATTAAAAGTCTAGTTTTGAAGATATCAATATTCGATGACCAAAATTATGCTAAATTATGAGTTTTCCTTATGGGAAAATAACATGGGATATGCATGGCATGCATGGCATATCGCATTTCAGTACCCATCCCCTTTTAATATAGAGTTAAATTGATAAAAGCAACACCTCTTTAGAAAATAAACCTAACATTTTTGAAAAAATAACAAGGCGGGGTCTTAATCCATAATGTTTCAGAGAGTTGGATTCATATTTTTTATTAGCACAGGGACTTTACCTGAAAGAAACATGTTGTTTTTATAAAAACCACTGTATTTATGGCCAGAAAAATATTTTTTGGGAAAGATATGACTGTCCAAAATCACCTGGCTTACTATACCTGGTCCTTTTTAAGTCGTGACAAATAATATCTAAATAGTCAAGTAAGATTGGCTCCCAGGGTCTCAACTCGATATTTGACCTTGACCTTGATCGGTGACAACATTGAAAATGTCGTTATTTTCCGATATTATAATTATAACTGACTATAAATTCATAATCAGCGATCCAAAAGATTTGAACTAATATCTTGGTCTCTTCTTGCGTGCTGTTTTGAATTTTATTGTTTAATAAGATCAAAACTTGCAATTCAAATATGAAGTGAAAAAAATGGCGAACGTTTTGATTCTGAATTTTGTAATCACAACATGACTACGTGATAATAAGGGCAAGGTCATAAACTTATAACACTATATATGGCAATGGTATCGATGTTGCACTATGGGAGCCAATCCTCCTTGCTAAATAGTTAAAGATATTTTCCATTGCCGATATTCGAAGTCTGACCTGCGACACGAAGAGAAAATTATCAATTAGAAAATATACAATGTAATATCATCTTTAGGTTGTTGATAAAGGATATATTGTGATCAATATGGAACATATCTTACCTCCAGCATAATATTGCAATTAATTGAAATCGGATAGGACATTATTTGAACGCCATTTTTTACGTCGTTTCACATTTTTTAGTTAAAGTTAAGTAACATGTTTAGTTTTAGTCCCTCAACGACTTTTTCACTCGGCGCCCGGGCGATTGCAGTATTTTGTTCAAAACTGATTTCAACCTGCTTCAAATTGATCAAAGTTTTTTTTAAATCATGTACAAGTTCTCAGGAGTTCATATCCGACCTCAAATGTGAGATTGGACCTTCAATTTTGAACAAAATGCTCAATCGGCTGGGCGCCCGCCGATGAATCGGAGCAAAACTGAGCTAGGCATTTCTGTAGTTCAAGTTATAAGCCTAGCAATACCGAATATCAAGTCATCATTGCGTGTGTCTTTAATTAAATCATTGTATTTTTCTGTTTCGTTACATAAAAAAGATGGTCCATTAGGACTCTAAGGAGAGATATACCACTGTCATAGTCAAAGTGTGAGTCGGAGAATGCATGCATTATGAATTGAAGTACAGTAAGTGATAAGATCATGTAAAAATTACATTTGTTTATTTATATTTAGCGTACACGTATCTGCATATAATATTTTTGTCAAATTATATCGTATTTGTAATTATTACATACAATAACGTCATTTTGAAGGGCAATATAGTGAAATATTGGACCGAAGGCCGTTAATGACCAGGACTGAAACAGCAAGAAAATCTTACGCACTGAACGATATCTAATTCCCCGGGGAAAACTGCCGGTCATTAATTGCATTATTGACCGGCAATATGGACCGCCTCTACGACGTCACATATTGCTCATGTCGATAGAATAAAATGAATGCCTTCTAAACTGGCACTAAAACCCCAAGAACTGGCACCGGCAAGGTGGTAATAATATATTATATTTTACTTGAAATGTATCAAATGAGAACTTGAATAAAAATGTGCGTGTCTGGTTTAGAGAAAACCAACAATTGTATCAATAGTCATATCCAGGACAATATAAAACAAAGACGTGTGGATCTAAGGTCGGCTGAATGTAAGGGAATTCGTAATATGGGTCTTGATCGAGGTTGTCTGCATCCGTTCCAGGATCATCATTCTCAAATTCCACAGGGTTGTTATTTTCCATTGCATCGTCCGCGTGAACAGTGTTGGCACGAGCCGTTGTGGAAAAACGTCTCCAATTATAAGGACGTCGACTTGAAAACTCCACTCGTCTGCTTAAGAGAGAGCACGATCCCTGATGTGACCACGAAGCCGTGCAATATTTATTCAAAGACCCAGCTTCTCTTCCATATTTATCCTGCACATGTTGACACAACTTTAGTCTGTAAAACTGTCCTATAGATACACGAAGTGGACTTTCAACCCAATCCGATGACTCAATTAGTAATTCTTTTGAATCGTCCGAGCAGTCCAATATATCCAAGTTATCGTCCCGACATCTTTCAAAACAAGCATATTTCAAGCTTATTTCATGCAGTCTTTGTTTGATACCCAACCGCAACGCTTTAATGTTCGACAAATCACGTCTAAGAGGCATTCGGTTAAGGCTGTTGTTTAATCCAGTCGCTGTTTCACTGGCTTTGTTACAACTATGAGTGTCATTATCCAATCTGATATAATATTCCTCATCATCATGAGCTATCGATTCGTTATCATCGACGGAACCAGTGTCATTGTTCATGTCATCTATCTCACTTTGTATCTCTTTTGGAGCACTGTCAAAGCTTGTGTCACTTTCCCAAGGCTCTGCATCCGATACTGTAACATAATCATCATCATGATGTGGAGTATTGCCTCCGGTAGCGTCTTTTTCATCAGACGATGCAGGTGCTTGGTCTGACCTATTCTTACTGTTTATATCGTTACATTCAGTAGTCTTGCTTGCTACACAAGGTTCGCTTAGAAAGGCAACAAGCTCATCAACACCGTCTTCATGATTGATTTGATACGTGGGGCGAATATTAGTGGGATCAGAATCATTTTCATTGAACTTAATGTGATTCATCTCAGGTTTACACGAAACTTCCAAATCGTCAAATACATTTTTGAAGTGAAGATCATCGATCATCCCCGCTGGAGCTTTAAGATCAGCAGCACAGCCGCTACTAAAATTTTCATCAAAAACCTCCTTTCCAGTTTTAATTATTAGGGTTGTTTTTTCATCGTTAGCTCTATGGGTTTGTGAAATGATACTGCTAGAGTCGATACTCACAACGTTTTTATCACTCTTACTGGGGATGTTAGAGTCTGAACCTAAAGAGTGGTTTACAATTGCGTCATCTTGGTTTTCTTCTCTTCTAATTCTTCTTATAGCTTCAAGCTCAACAGCATCCTCTTTCTTATCAATTGTAGTCAGCGGTGTCTTGATAAAATCTTCCAGTTGTTCGATAGTGTTATTTTTGAATTCCGTAGGATATGTTTGTGGGATTTCAAGTGGCATGCCATCCATTTCGTTACTAACGTCTGATGCAAACATTTCATTGTTTGAGTTTGTCCATTCTCCAAGATAAATGTCTATTCCCGTTTTTACGGCCAAACTGATGTCATCCGTTTTCGGTTTCTGTTCGCTTCCGGCAATGCTTTCAGTGTGTGTTTCTGTGTCGTCATTCATTTCCAATGTATTTTTCGTCTCAGGTAGCTTTATTCCTTGGCTTTCCGAACTGTCCTCTCCTTGACCACGAAAACCATCTGCTTCGGCGTGTGCAATACTTGAATCGTTTAATTTGTTGAAAATGTCCTTGACGGGGTCAATTCTCAGTTGAGGCTCCCCGGTAGACTTGTTTTCCAACAATGAACTAAGAATGATAGGATCTATGTGACGGCCCCATGACTCTTTACAACGAGGCTCCGGATCTTCATCAATTGACTGAATGGCAGCATGATTGCCCGTTGTAGTACTGTCATCAATAGAATCACATTTGTTACCAAAAATATCGGTAAAAGGACTGCACATCGCTACAGTTGCAATGATAGTAGGCTTGTTGTCAATAGCTAATTCCATTTCTTCCGATGAAGCATACGTCTTGACATCTTTAGCGTCACCGGCGCAGTTTCCTTGGCGATTAGCCATGTTGCCATCTTGGGTTGAAGAATTACTAACGATAGAATTCGGGTGTTGATCAATATGATCTGTACATTGATCTGTACAATCATGATTTTCTTTTATAATATTATCATCACAAGAATCACCTTTGTTACTTGAAAGATTTTTATTAGGAACACGAGGACTATTTTCAACACCCAATTCCATTACATCGGATGTAGCATACGTCTTGACATTTCCAATGTCATTGGCACATTTTCTTCGGCGATAACCTGTGTCGCTATCGTGGCTTGAAGAACTACGCTCAGTAAGCTCTGTGTGGTGGTCAACTGGACCTGGACAATTAGGATCTGGATGACCATCAATGGATTTAGAAGGAGCACGATTGTTTGTTGTAGTGTTGCCATCTATTGACTCACGTTTGTTACCAATAAGATCGGCAATAAACACACCCGATGTTTCACTTGCATCGATATAAGCACTTGGTCTATTGTCATTAGCTGATTCTATTCCTTTAAAAATAGCCATGTCGCCATTTTGGCTTGGTGAATTACCCACGATACGATCTGTGTGTTGGTCAACAGAATCTGTACAAATAGGATCCGGATGATTATCAATTGGTTGAATGGAATCATGAGTGTCCGTTATAGTATTGTAATCAATAGAATCACATTTGTTACCAGTAAACTCGGTATTATGAGTGGAAGTCGCTTCATGACGTTCAATGAATGTGGACCCATTGTCAATAGCAGATTCCATGGCATTGAGTAAAGCAAACGTCTTCTCATCTTCAACATCACCGGCACAGTTTTCTTTGTGATAAGCCTTGTCACTATCTTGGTTTGAAGAACTAGGCCTACACTCAATAATATCTGTGTGTTGGTCAACTGGACCTACACAATTAGGATCCGAAAGTTCATCAGTCGCTTGAATTGAATCACGGTTGTCTGTTGTAGTGTTGTCATCAATTGACTCATGTTTGTTACCAGTAAGATCGGTGATAAGTATACATGGTATTTTACTCTCATCAATATCAACACTAGATATACTGTCAATAGCGAATTCGGTTTCATCCGAAAGGGCACATGTCTTCTCAACTCTCACGTCATTGGTGCAATTTCTTTGGCGATTAGCCGTGTCGCCATCTTGACTTGAAGAACTTCTTACAGTAGGATATGTGTATTGGTCAATGGGATCTGTACAATGAGGATACGGAAGAATATCAGTTGATTGAATGGAATCATGAGTGTCCTTAATAGCAATGTCATTAATAGAATCACATTTGTTACCAGTAGAATCGGTATTCATGGTATTAAGATTACGCGTCGTTTCACTTGCATCAACACGAGGACTATTGTCAACCGCCGATTCAATTACTATAACATCTTGTACGGTCTTGTCTCTTCTGTCATTAATCCCGTCTTCTTGGCGATTGGTACTTGTATCATTACACGAAATGTCGAAATCGCAAACAGCTTTACACTCTGGAGCAATAACTGAACTGTGACGACCTTTTCCAGAATGTCCGGATATTTCTAAAGGATCCTCGTCATAATCATCACCTCTCTTCGAACTTGAACTGACGACTTCCCTCGATATATATTCAATTGTCTCGCACCATGTAACATGACGTTCGCAAGCTCTGTGCAACAGAGAACCAGTTTCTTCATCATTGTATGTTGTCATCTTGTCTTCATACTAGGGAAGTTAAGCTACACGTTTTTAAAAGAATTTGTACGCGAACGTGTAATATTTTGACCCACATGGATTACTGTTCTCCTATTTACAATTGTTTTCCTTATACCTTTATACTCAATCGGGCAAACAATTACTAGAAAAGGGAGAACTAACCCTAGAGAACCATAATTCTATACGTTCACGTACAAGTTCTATTAAAAACGGGTAGCTTGACCTCCCCATTGTTTTTGGTTTAATGACGAATCACACGGTATATAAGGCAACACCATGACCACTAATTGAACCACGGTCTCGATACCAGACGCGCGAATGGACATGCACCGATTAGACCAGTATAACAACGACAATCAAAAGCTCGCAGCAAGCTTACCTCAATGCCAAGAAACTTGGCGTTCAGGCCATTTCTTCTTTATTTTGACTAATTGGCGCTATTACAATTTTGTCAACAATCAGACAATATCAATGATCTGAAACAGCATAATTAAAAACAGCTATTTCATCTTACATACACACAGTAATATCATGGTAATTTTGCTTTCCTGTCCTGTTTTCCTGGTCTGCTTGTCCATTCGCGGGCTCTTGGTATTCATGAATTAGTCTATGATTCAACGAGTCAAGGTATTCCCTCGATTTGCGAATAATAGTCCCCATTCTGTTATAGTTACATGAGTCAATAACAATTTAGCTTTCTATGTCCTCTTGTTATGACCTTTCCATTCCTTTAATAGCTACATTCGATGGCTAATTTATATTTTGTGAAGCATAGAAAACCGATCCCCTTATATTTTCATAAAAATATCTTCATTACCTCATTGTTTCGATTCCGGAACCTATTGATTTTGTGATAAACAGTGCTTTTTCTTAGAACCTTAGTATGGGGATTCCCAATGTACATTTATTGTTTTTTTTTATTACCAATAAGCCACGTGTTCCTAGAATCGAAACCAGGGGATTCCCCGTATACAGTAGCTACACGCAAGGAGGATTGGCTCCCAGAATGCAACACCGATATTCTGCAAAACAATCACCTAGCGATAGCTTTGTTGGAGAGTATCGGGTCATTCTCCATGCAGTCGTACAAATTATACAGACACGAATAGCAAATGACGCATGCGTGGAGATTAAAGAATATCGAGTTGGAACCCTGGCTTCCAATCCTCCTTGAGCTACACGGGAACAGCTATTCATAACAATGTACTTTCATTTTATTTCAGTATTTTCATATGAAAGGTGCAACAATTAATGAGTGCGGCCATTCAACGATCATGGACCAGTGTCAAAATATATTTAAGTTTTGTTATTTCTTCAAGACTTACATATATTTCTATTATTTCCAAAGAAATCACCTTGGATGAACATTATCCTCATGAAACATGGTGAATCTTAAAAATCTATTAGTGGAACTCCCTCTATAGAAGCTTTGAACTGAATTTTCACTCCTTAATGCTGTAATTGATAGTTTATCCATACATTTTCAGAAAATAGATATGTCAAAAAGATGTTAGATTTAAAAGATGTTATATTTACACTCAAACTATTCCAATAAATCAAAACATAACATTGGTAAAACATGATTACATCTTTTGCTACTGTATTACAAGTCCATGTTTTTACAGGTCCCATATTCTGTGAAATACTATAATGTATGTCCTTGTTGAACTTATTGAAGTAAATTAGTATCCATATTGTTGAAGAGGTTGGGTTCGAACGTTAACTGGCTGTGTCCCAATGTCATAATCTGTTGGGTTTATAGGAGCAAGTTTCAATGCCCGACATATGGCATTGCACTTGTGGTTGAGGAAGAAGCCAGCGATTCCAACTGGGCCCCAGTCGGCTCTACCGTCGCCCTCTCCATGCATCGTAAATATCTGAAGTAAACAAGAGTACTTGATAGACGAACAGGGAGTCACAGGATCACGGCATTATTTTCGTAGTTAAAAAAGCAAGTATCAGTTATGTATGATGTCAAAAGTTTTATCGTTGTATAAAATAAATTAGATTTTACCTGTGGGTCGGTGTAGACATCCCCCACACCCTGTATATCAACGACCATCTCGCGTCTCCCGGAATCTTCAAACGTGAAATGTGTGAACGCTTGTGGGGTGTTCCTGGGGGTAATAGCATAACCATTACGAAGAGGATCTGCATTATTGTGTTTAAAATAGTTACCCTCCAAGAACCTTTCTAAAGTACCAAACTGACCCTCGAAATCACCGTACAGGAACTCCACCATTTGGCTTTCCACATAGGTCACCTAGAAATTTAGAAATTCACAACAGTGTTACTCATTCAATTAAAGTAATGAAGGGTATTGAAGATAAACATCGTACACCGAATGCCTCAATCACGGTAAAGTGTTCGATAGAGTTATTTACAAATGAAGTTTACAATTAGGTCTAACATGGGCGCCAAAGAGAGAATTAACAACACTTGACTAGTCGTATATATACTATCTCGTTTCAAAATTAGAAAATGACCATGACCCTCACCTGTTTTGGGACTGCATTATTGTTGTTGTATTTGATTGCATAATTGATGCACTTAGATTGCGTCAAAACATCATACTGCGCGTTCTCCATGGTCCTACCTCCATTTTCTATTTCCACTTTCAGTACCATCGGGTTTTCCGCCCAATCACCCGAGTTTACGTGCCAGGCCCTATAGGCAAGACGCATCCCTCCATGTGTGAAAAATGTATTTTCACGATAAATCAAACTCAGTTCGGATGTCCATGTTTTTGTGATACGACAATGTGTCCATACTTTAACATTTTCAAGGATATGTCCTGGTCCATCAGTGCTGGACATCGTCTTCTATTCCTCGTTTCCTTTTACTTTCAACTCTAAAACTGTGTAGAAAAATACCGAAACATTTCAATTAGAAATGAGTCAGTGGGAATCCCATATTCCCTCACGTCACTCCGATTTTTAGTTTCGCCGAATTGGCAAAGTGCCATCGACTGCGCATAATCATGTATTCCACTTAATAGAGGGATTTATCCCTGGGGATTTATTGTGAAATAATAGTTCATTCATTGAAAGAAGCGTTAAACTTTACACCCCTCGAAATGCATGGGGGAGGGGGAAAGCAATAATATGAGAACACCATGATTCTGAATTATGTTCATACAGCAGTTTTAGAATGTCATTTTCATGGTACATTTACAGGATGATAACATAATTTCTAATTGATTTTCATTGGTAAGCTTTGCTTGCATGCTATATGCGCAGGGTAAGTGTATTGAAATCTATAAATAAGATGAATAAGATGAATAAAATGTAATCATTCTATCCAGGTATCAGCAGAACTTATTTCCCAACTGTTTAATTGCCTTAACTAAGTATTGCAATTGGGGTAATGAGTAAGCAAAAATCGTTTTGAAACTCATACATGATTCAACTACATGTACATTCACTGGCGGATCCAGAAGATATCAAGCGGGGAGGGGGGTGGGCATATTTCAAATCCGAAACAAATCCGCGCAGCACGGAATTTCTTTTTGAAAATGTAAGGCTAATTTTTCTATAATTTGGCCTAAAAGGGTATATAAGGCCAAGTTATACCAAAAAGGCCCACTTATTGAGGCCCTACCAAAATTTTGTTGGGCCCAATTTTTTCTGGGGGGGGGGGGGCATGGGGCACAGTTGTCATCTTTTTGCAATGACAACATGCCATTTCTTCTGAAAATGCGTTTATTTGGGTTATCTGAAGGAAAATTTCGAGTCAAGTGGCGTATTAATTTTGCCTTCATTTTTGTGAATTTCAATTTGTGTCGGCAGAGAGAAGGGGTAGTGTCACAATTGACCAATTATTTCAAAAAGTAGATGTTTGGCCCCTATTGAGTTTAGTGTCAAAATGTAGCTTAGACATAGCTTTAGAACCTCAGATAGGCCAGTGAGGCCACATAAATCCATAACTCGAGATAAAAAGTCAGGCGTTTGCCCTTTTGCGCATTGACTAGTATGGTGACGTGAATTAGGGCAGTTTGGCCTATTAGTCACATGTGAGAGTGACCAATTTTTTTTCAAACTACTCAGAATCGCCAAGAATTGAAGTTTATTAGTATGAAACATATTCTGGACGGGGACAAAAGGGGAATTTTCTTGAACAAATTTAAAGTTTTTGCTGAATAAGCAGTTTTCGCTTTTTACCCCAAAAACCACTGATTTTGACGATAATTGGCCACAATTTCGTCCTTAATGACTCCAGGATGTCATATATTGTCGTAAATGGGCAAGCCAATGAGTTGCTGTTCATAATAAAGATTGAATTTTCCATCTTATGGTTTTTAGTAAAGAATGAAGGTACATATCAGGGGTACAGTCAGAGATTGGTCAGTTAAGTGTCAATTTTTGATGTATTTGTCCACTCTGAATGACCAAATTCGAGCTAAAACTATCTCAAAAGTCCCAATTCTCCAGGCCAGAGTCAAATCTGATCTTTGTCATCATTTTTCAAATCAGGAGGTTGTTGAATGGAATAAAATATCAAAAAATGATAATTTTAGTAAAATTTTGCCTAAGTAGGCCAAATTTTCCCAATTTTCCTGGTTCACGGTTCAGTGATTTTGGCTAAGAATCGCAATATGCAATTAAATACTCAATTTCTTGACACGACATTGTAAAATGTCACCATCACAGTGGTTTCAGTAACTTTGTGTACAAGAGGCAGATGAAAAATATAAGAGGCGGCATTCAAATTAACAAATTTTACGCTCCCGACAATGCAAATTCTTGTTATTTTAGAGTCCATGGACTGAAAGAAAGATGTCCAAGGTTTGTCAAAGTCATTTCCACGTGTGATGTGGCAAGACATGGGCTCCACAAAATAACGCCTGGAACTGTGGAATGACTAGGGCAACTTATATAGAATGCCATTTACCTTTTATAAAGTAACTTACCCTTACACAGGTTGCATTTCACAAATCCAAATGCACCTATTGAATTGAACACTTTTGCTATAAATCAAAATCTAGAATTGTCATTATTAAAATGAGTGATGTATTAATAGATGATTCACTTGTGATTATGTGTATATCATGTGCTGGTATTTTGTTAAATATACACCAATTTTACATAATGTACCTTCATGTTTTGTAACTAAAATTGCCGAATTACATGATTTTTGCCAGCGCCCGGTGCATATGTGGCCTAGGCATTAGAGAGAGACCGAGGTGGGAGATATCCCCCTCCCATCTACACCAAACTTGTTCTCACTACGCTTTCGAAAATTGCCTGAAAGGCCTCCTCACACATTATTAAGGAAAACATATCTACACATTTTGCGCATTTAACCATTTGATAACATATTGTTGATCTTATCTTAATTTGTTAATGTGAATTCGCACCTTCATTTGCATGGAAGACTGATAAAATCCTTTTATGATGATCTTTGTTAGAAAGCTGATGTTTGGCTTCGAAATTCCAAATTGAACAGTCTACTAAGAATACCATGTTGTATATATTGTTTTCTTTATAATATGTCGAGCTAGGACTGCTCAAACAAATTCGCTTTTTGTAGCTACAAGTATTTATTTTCAATAGATGATAAACTTCTCAATATAAGAAATTACCCTCATAAGACATTTAGACGGGTAGGAAGGAGGGGTTCCCATGCACCCGAAAGATGTATTTTTTTAATGTACATTTTTGTAATCCTAAAGGTCCATACTAAAGATTTTTGCATGTTCCCAGAATGAAATATTGTCCCATGGTATCTATTGGCGGCCATCTTGTCGGCCATCTTGGATTTTTGAAAGAGTTGATGTTAATTATCTCAAAGTACAATAACTTCCAAAGTTTTAAGATTTGAAAGCTGTAAGTGGTACCAAAATGAAGCTATTATAGTATCCTATATTATCAGATGCAATAATTATGCAAATTGTCTCATTTGCATAAAATGTGACATCATCAATCATAATTCTTGCCTCTTTACAACGGTATCGCATTATACCTTTCTGCCTGAGTGATCAGTCTTAGTCATTCATTCACATAAATTAATTTAAATATATAGGTACATTAATTTTGAACATATTTGCAAAAAAAATTCGAAACTTTTGGAAAAAAATTGTCAGACACACGATAATGTTACTGAAAAGAGGCGTGGCACTTCTTGTGAAAGAATTGATGTTAATTATCTTAAAGTATAATAACTTCCACAGTTTTGAGAGTTGAAAGCTGTAAGTGGTACCAAAATGAAGCTATTATAGTATCCCATATTATAAGATGTAATAATTATGCAAATAGTCTCATTTGCATAAAATGTGACATCATTAATCGTAATTTTTGCCTCTTTACAACGGTATCGCACAATACCTTGCTGCCTGAGTGACCAGTCTTAGTCATCCATGAACATAAATGAATTTGAATATATAGGTACATTAATTTTGATCATATTTGCAATTGAAAGTTTTGGAAAAACATTGTCAGACACTAAGTTACGAGGGGTGATCCAAAAGTCTTGGACGCCCTGCTCTAATTTTGTTGGTTTTTGATAAAATTACTTTAAACTTTCCAATAATAAAGACCAACAACCTCACTACTTTGTGTGTTAATTTCATGGAGAAATGATATATTTGATGTAGTTTTCTAGAGAGTTTTTAATATAAGGACCCTGCCACCCGGAACGGTATTCGCACATGATAACTTTCAGCCTTAAATGTTCCTGCCATTTCACTTGTTTCGCAAGTCTTAACCACTATCTTTCTTTGAATTTTGAATGTTAAACCATGCTAGTTTACTTCCTTTGTTATTAGGCAATCAATTAATTGTGTTTTAATTATCATGGCATATATGACAATGGCTGTATATGTCAAATTCTAAGAAAATGACATCAGACAAGCAACCCTCATTCTGGTATCATTTTTGCTCCAAGATGGCTGTGAAATGGAGAACATGAAAGAAATCAAAGTGGAACAAAGTATACTACGAGATATTCTCACTATTATTGACCTTGAGCAGCTACCATATGCACGATACAGTCTTATGGCTCTGTCTGATTTTCTTCCTTTTCTCCAAGTTGAAAGAAGGGTTGAAAGAAAATGTTTTTTATTCATTGGATGAGGTTTAGAGTGGTACTCCAGCAGCATTTGTATCACATAAGCAATGACGGTTTCATAAATGTCTTCCATTCATTGGTAAAGCGGTATGAAAAATGTGTTCAAATTCGTGGAAAATATGTTGAAAAGTAGGTCTTAATATGTGAAAATGATGATGGCAGATGACACTCAGATTGAAAATTGGAAATTCTCTCATATCATGACTGGTGTTAGGTTGTGCACCTGCACCTAAAGTATTTGCCATATTATAACAGTTGTGATGTGATTTGCTATATTCAAATACCGTTCCGGGTGGCCGCGACCCGGTATTAAAAACCATTTAGAAAAGTAGCTCAAATATATTTTTTTCTCTTGAAACTTATACACAAAGTTCTTAAGATGTTGACCTTAATTATCTGAAAGTTTCATGTAATTATATCAGAAAAGAGCAAAGTTAGAGCGGGGCGTCCAAGACTTTTGGATCACCCCTCGTATAACACTTCACATGATTATGTTACTGAAAAGGGGCGTGGCACTTCTTGAGAAAGAGTTGATGTTAATCATTTCAAAGTACAATAACTTCCACAGTTTTGATAATTGAAAGCTGTAAGTGGAACAAAAATGGAGCTATTATAATATACTTATAAAAATGCAATAATTATGCAAATTTTCCCATTTGCATAATATGTGACAACCTCTATTATTTTTGGCATTTTTCAATGGTAACGACCAATATCTCTCCCTTTGGGTAACAGTCTTGGTTATTCATGAGCATTTATGATTTTGAATATACAGGTACAATAATTTTGAACATATTTGCAATTGAAATTTTGGAAAAACTTTGTAAGAAATTAAGTGTTGACACTTCACATGATTATGTAACTAAAGGGGGGGGGGGGTGGCACTTTTGTTCAAAATGTTAACTTCTAAACACTAA